GTGTTGTCAATTGGAGTTATAGAAATAAACTGAATTGAATTGAATAGGTATATAGAAAGACAAAAAAAAAAAACATCAAATATGTCATACCATATATAATAAACATTAACAGAGACTGAACAACCACCATCAAGCTTTAAAAAAATTATGTCATAAAAGGTGAGTAATGTTGGGAGTAATGTTGTTCATGTTGGGAGAACTTATTCAGTTCTAGGATTTTTTTTTTTAAACTTTTCTATTAAAGGTAATCAATGTTTTATTTCTACAGTATGCTGACTGTATTCTTTCTAAATCATGTTATATATTCTTTTATAAGAGTCTTGTATGACAGAAGTAATAAAAAAGAAAGTTAAATTAAGCAAATAAAGTATCTACATTATATGAAAAGCAAACAAGGATTATGCTAAGACAAAGATAAAGACTGATGATGTTTTTTTTTCTGTTTGAACTTGACCCATACCTAGAATTAATTAATAAAGACTAAACACACCGAAATAAAATTAAGATTAATTGCCCTAGAATATTAAAATCCAGGAGAAGTACCCTGATTTGACTTCTTTACACCTGGCATTGCACAACTCATGATCTATTAAGCAGTTCAAACCAGAAGACAAGACACAGGCAGACAGCCTGGCTGGGTGAACAAATCAGAGGGGAATATTTTTAGCACCACGTTCACCAAAGCAGGGAGAAACGGGCTGTTTGATGCTCTTTGCACAGTGTGCGTGGATGCTGAGCCACGGATGATGACATGAAGACCTGTGAGAATCGAGTTATAAACATTACATGAAAGCTGCCAGTTTGATTTAGAGCATCTAATGTTTTGATGCGCTCACATTCCATCAAAGTGCAAGTTGGAAATATATTTTCCTGCAGCGTCGCTTTTATATAGAAACTATAGTGCAATATATTTTCCACTTTGAATAAATGAATTGTGACGGGATTTTATTTTTCTGCGTGTAATGAAGGTCACGGCCAGTGCACATCTAAATAAAACAAAGCAGATAATCCAAGTGGCCCAGAGCTCACCGTAGGACGCCGATGGCATTTCAATGGGAACAGCTGATGCACACAATAGCCGACTAGCAGCTTATGTGAAGGTGACAGGTTGATCACTAGAGTTTACATATCGGTACACACCTATACCTCATGTCAGCGGATGTGATGCCCAAATAAGTTGTTCTCCTTCTTTTTAAGCTTTTGTTTCGACAGATGCCACTATTACAGCGGATAACAGCCCTAATAATAGTCCATTCTCCCGTGTGTCTGTGGTTTAATGTAGCAACAGTTTGATGTGTGGCTGAGAGCAGCTTGTCCTACCTGTGGAGCAGAACAGGTGACCGTGGAGACGTGCGCGACAGACGGCCGCTCAACAATGAAGTGCGCTTTGCAGGAAGAAAAACAAAGCAGTCCGAAGTTGGAATTAGCCGCCTGCCACCATCTTCAGCCTGACAGACAGAGGAGGGGGGTGAGGGTGAAAAAGTGCGCTGTGTCAGCGAGTCCGTCCAATATGGCACATTACAGCGACTCAAAGCCCTGTCTGACGGGTCTGCGCACGGCGCGAGAGACGGCGGATAATGTCTGACGGACGCTGGAGCGCTCCCCCGCGCGCTTAGCAACAGAGAAAAGCGTCAAGATGCGCACACTTAATGCGCGGGCACGAGAGGGAGGAGTCTTAGAAATAAAAGCAG